GCCATCAAGGTCTAATGAGCAGCCCAGGCTCCGCGCATCTCTGTGTTAGAGACAGGAGCAGAACCATGGTGCTGCTAGGTTAGCCACCTTGGCTTTGTGGCTACGCCAAGGCTTTCCAAGCCAGGAAGCTGTCCCCTCCTACCTGCGGCCTCGGGGCCGAGTCTGGCACCTGGGCCGGTTTGGATCCCATTCCTGGTCCGAGGGGAAGCCAGCGCCTGGCTCAGATTCACATAACTTTCCTGTGCTCCGCTTCACTCATGTCCGGGGATCTGCTCTGTTTACTTGTTTTCATCTCTGAGAAAGCGTTGCCACGTGAAGAAGGAAACGCGTCTCCTCTGTTGAGCTGTAACCAAAGGAAAATACGGGTCAGAGAGTGCGTTTTCCAGCAAGACGGGTTTGTTTGCGGCCAGCCCCTGAGGCCATCTGAACTGGCTGAAACTGCTGACGTGGAGGTGATGATGTGAGCACACAAGAAGCAGGCCTTCGGGACGGAGGGCGCAGACCTGAGTCAGTGAGCCTGGCTCTGCGCCTTCCTTTGGGTACAGGTGCTCTATATCCGTTGCAAACTACAGAAAACTATACAGAAAATCTGAACTACCTAATACTCCAGCCACTCAGAAATCAATACTGTTCAAGTTTTTTTTTTTTTTAATGTGTATACTTCTCTTTTTCTCAGGGTATATAAAACGGTTTTCAGTAGGTTTGTGGTGTTCAGATTGTGTGGTAGCTCAAATGTCTCTCAATTTATCCTTAATCGTTTGCTGGCAGTGGCCTCGTGTTGCCGACTAGTGTGTATTTAAGCTAAGTGTGGGAGTGTGAACTCTAGAAGTAATGCATTATCACACGTGTTTGCCTAATGTGGGTTCTGTGCCTCTCACAACCTGGATCAGGTGGGAGCCCCAAGAGAGGCTGATGCTGGGGCCTGTCTGGTCTCCTGTCCCCAGATTCCAGGCAGTGCTGATCTTTTGCAGAACAAATGAATGGAAGGTAGAAGGAGAAAAGGGCATGGAAAAGGTTATTTGAATCATTTTGGCAATAAACTTGAGACTTGGTTGCTTCTTATGCATTGAGACCTCTGTATCCCTGGGGACAACTTGGAGGTGAGTGACTCCTAGCCAGATGAGGAAACATTGAGGTGACCAGCACAGAACAGGGTTCCCACCTGCCCTCCCTGCTAGTGTGACCCTGGCTAAGTCGATTAACCTCTTGGGCCTGTTTCATCACCAGTATAGAGGAAACCGCATCAGTTCTCACCCGTGTGTGTTCCCTCTGAGGACCCAGTGAGCTAACGCCCCTGACACATGGCACATGCCATGAATATCGAACGTGGTGACTGTTGCGGCTGTTACCATTTGCCATACAGAAAGCTGGAGTGCCGCCTCTCAAGCTTCATGGTAAGGTGAAATACATTGGATTATCCAGATTTTGGTATTTGAGTTTTGAGCTGCGAGCAATGCATTTAGAAATGTGTGAATTCTTGAAAGTTGGAGGCCCCCGTTAGTCATGTGTGAGTGAAATGTTACTGGAACATGGTGTGCTAGTGAAGTGATCCTTAGAGAGATGCTGAGTGCTGGGGGCTGTGGCTCCTTACATCATGGCTAAGCGACTTCATGAATTGTCCTATTTCACTGATCCATTTTAGCATCTCCAAGTCAGGATTTGTCTCATCATGGTGTCCTGTTAGCCGACAGGGTGTTTTCTGTCTTCTTAGCTCTTAACACAACACAGTGTAAAGCTGACAGCATGTTAGATGTAATAAAATATGTTCATTTCTTTGGGCACGTTTGGGCTGGGGAGACTTTGTCCCTCTTTGGCCGTTAGTGTATTTTGTTTCTGGGAAGTGGCAGCACCCGTGTTCTCCGGAATACCGTTCAGCAACAGGTAGCTGCAAATGTGCTTCCCAGCCTCAGATGGGAACTGAGGCTCGTGAGTGTATTTAAAAACTGCAGAATCCCTGCGAATCCATCAGTGTGATGCTCATTTCCCACCTAGGGTTTTAAACGTGTATTTCAACTTAATATCACGTTCTTCCAGAATTGATACGTAGCTATCCATCCTTAGAAAATGCTTATTTAATTATGAAGACTTCAAAACTACACCATCCAGCAAAGGAAATATCACACTTTTGTCACTAGATACTGTTGTAACCTTTTTTTAGAAGCTTGAAAGTTTTGTTGCTTAAAGTGTTTTTTCAAGGATTCAATGACAGTTTCTACCCAATGTGTTAATGTAAGAAGACTTTCATTTTGGTTACTTGAGAAGCAGATTTTGATTTACAGGTAAAATATAAACACAAGAGACAATAACTTCATAGCTTCTTTAGAACTCACAAGGATATTTTGTAAAGTATTTAATAATACCTTTCCTGACATCAATTTTAGCCTTTGTCTTAAAATATTTTTATATTTATGAACTATTTTATATAGGCTTTAAAAATTCCACTTTAGCCCTTTATCAGAAACTTCTACTAAAAAAATCATGAATTTGTTTTCTTTAGCTGTCAAGGTTAGTCTAGCTAGTACTTAATTCAGACTTCCACTTATTTTTTTCATCCAGACACTAGTGTTGGATTTCATTCTAAACTCAAGTGGCTCCCAATGAAAGACAATGTAAAATTACATTGATTTTGTTTTCTGATTACAGAAATTATAGGTGGTCACTGTGGAACTTTTTAGAATACATGAAAAATATTCCTGCAAAGAGAAGGAAATGGCATCCAAAATTTAAGTACATTAAAAATCATTATGATTAATATTCTATATTTTCTTTTTTTTAATGGTCTTTTTTTTAAAGATTCTTTATTTACTTGAGAGAGTTACAGACAGAGAGGGAGAGACAGAGAGAAAGGTCTTGCATCCACTGGTTCACTCCCCAAATGGCCAGAGCTGAGCCAAAGCGAGGCCAGGAGCCAGGAGTTTCTTCAGGGTCTCCTATATGAGTGCAGGGGCCCAAGGACTTGGGCCATCTTCTGCTGTTTTCCTAGGCCATAGCAGAGAGCTGGATTGGAAGTGGAGTAGCCGGGTGTTGAACCAGCGCCCATATGGGATGCCAACATTGCAGGCAGAGGCTTAACTTACTACACCACAGCACCGGCCCCCATTATGGTCTTTATATACATTTAATATGTATTGACATATGTGTGTATAGGCATTAATACTATCCTATAAATGTAGACATCATAATATATATGGAGTTTACATTTTTAACTTAATATTAGGTAAGTGTTTTTACATGTCGTTAACTATTGTTCAGTATCTTATTTTTCGAGTGTGTGATATTTCCCTTTATGCATGAAAGTAACTCATTCAATCATTCCCCAATTGTTGGATATTTAGGTCATTTCCTAGTTTGTTACTATTATAAATTCCTTCCAAAAGAAAGCTGTTCTGATTGAGGCATTGCTGAGAGAGATGGAGGTGATGGTGCTGTGTCAAGTGGGGATGAGCCAGGGAGCTCCGAATCAGATTCGCTGATGGAAGAACAAGGAGGCAGTCAAGACTAACCTTGGGGGCCGATGCTGTGGCACAGCTGGTTAATGCCCTGGCCTGAAGCGCCGGCATCCCACACGGGCACTGGTTCGAGACCCAGCTGTTCCACTTCCGATCCAGCTCTCTGCTATGGCCTGGGATAGCAGTAGAAGATGGCCCAAGACCTTGGGCCCCTGCACCTGTGTAGGAGACCCAGAAGAGGCTCCTGGCTCCTGGCTTCAGATCGGCATAACTCCTACCATTGTGGCCAATTGGGGAGTGAACCATTGGATGGAATACCTCTCTCTCTCTCTCTCTCTCTCTCTCTCTCTCTCTCTGTAACTGACTTTCAAATAAAAATAAATAAATCTTTAAAAAAAAGAAAGACTAACTTTGGCTCCCAGCTGTGGGGACAGAAAGGAAGGGAAGGATACACAAATTATTCTGTTAGATGCTTGGCAGAACTGGGCAAATGGTGGCTACTCATGAGGTGTGAGTCAAAGACCACTGCCAAGTTTAATTGGTATTATGAAGGGAAAAAGTACCATAAACACAAATTGCCAGATTTGGAAGAGAGTCTAGCGTGTTGAGTGTCACCATTTGGCATCATCCAGATGGGTAGTTGAGCTGAACTAAACTTGAATTGTCTTCAGGCTGGAGATGAAAGTACGGGCCATGCATGATAGAGAATGTAGCGCTGAGCCCGTGGGAATCATTGAGAGATCGGAGTATGACCCAGCACAGGTGGAGGGAAATTGAAGTCTTTGGGAATTACTCATTAAAAAAAAAAAAAGAAATAGATAATCATTGAGAGAAAGGGGGGAGGGGAGAGAGAGAACTAGAATCCCAATAAGGGAGAGTCATTGGGAGCCCAGGAAGGAAGAGAACTTCAAGAATAAAATTTGCAATGCTGAGAGCCACAAGCAGCTGTACTGGGGACAGGCCACTGTGAGGGTAGCTGTAACCTTTAAAAACAAAGCAAAGCAAAGGCCTGGCGTTGTGGCCCTGCGGGTTCAGCTGCCTTTGTGTTCTACTTCCACCCCAGCTGCCTGCTAATGTGCTTAGGAAGGCAGTGGAAGGTGGTCCAAGTTCTTGGACCCCTGCCACCCATGTAAGAGACCTGGACAAAGTTCCAGGCTTCTGGATTCAGCTTTGCCTGCCCTGGCTTTTGCAAGCATTGGAGGAGTGAACCAATGCATGGAAAATCCGTGTGTGTGTGTGTGTGTGCGCACATGTATGTGTCTCATTCTCTTTGTCACCCTGACTTTCAAATAAATAAATAAATAAATACCACTTCCTTGACCCTACGCCAACTTGGAAGGCACTGAGGAACCTGTGACGTTGTCTGTGCAGCAATGCCTCATCCGAGGCGGGCAGCAGAGGGCCAGGAGACAGGTGCACGCACCTGAACTCCTTGGAGACAGAAGCCTCCCTGGAGACAGAAACCTCAAAATTAGTGTTGTTAAAAATCCTTGAGCTGTGGAACACGTTCAAAGGAGTGATTTATTCAAGCGGGGGGAATCTCTTTTTCAGGCCACCACGGAGGAAACAGAACTGAACAGCCACGAAGATGAGAATGATGGCGGAGAACCAGGAAGTGAGAATGTAGACCTTGCCGCATCAGGTTGGTTTCACAGTGGCCTGGTTGTAAGGTTGATCCTGTTAACTCTCACAGCACAGTGCAGGAATCCTTCCTATGGAGCCAGCGAGTGGATGCCAGACTCTGCGAGTGGTGTGGTTGTGCTGCCACCCAGAGGCTATTTAGGGGAATTCTTGCCATAGGATTGACGCTGTAGCAGTGGAAGCCCTTGCTGGTTTTGTTCCACGGTGGTATTTTGTTTCTTGAAAGTCTGTCCCTGTCATAATAAAGAATACTGTATTGCCACAAAGAATGCTGGAAATAGAGGGTCATGTTTTGACAGCAAGAGGTAAGATTTAAATCAAAATTGCATCATAAAAATAGCAGCTGAAATGGTATGTGAATGTGGACAGGAGTGTGTGCGTATATTGTGCCCATTGTTTAGAGAGAGATCACTGGACTGTAAAGTACTCTTCTATTATTTTGCATTTGCAGTCACATTTTCATTCACTGCTCCTTTTGACAAACACGAAAACCTCTTATCCCCCTTCTAATACCAAATTATTTTTAAATAGCATTTTAAAATAAATTAATTCCACAATCAAAAATAGTAGCAGGCTGGTGCCGTGGCTCAATAGGCTAATCCTCCACCTAGCGGCACCAGCACCCCGGGTTTTAGTCCCGGTCGGGGCGCCGGATTTTGTCCCGGTTGCCCCTCTTCCAGGCCAGCTCTCTAGTGTGGCCAGGGAGTGCAGTGGAGGATGGCCCAAGTGCTTGGGCCCTGCACCCCATGGGAGACCAGGATAAGCACCTAGCTCCTGCCTTCAGATCAGCGCGGTGCGCCAGCTGGCTGTACCGCCCCGGCCGCAGTGGCCGTTGGAGGGTGAACCAATGGCAAAAGAAGACCTTTCTCTCTGTCTCTCTCTCTCTCTCTCACTGTCCACTCTGCCTGTAAAAAAAAAATAGTAGCATATACCTTTTTTAAAAAGGATTTATTTATTTATTTCAAAAATTGTAGTTAGAAAGAGAGAGACAGAGATCTTCCATCTGTTGATTTACTCCCCAGGTGTCTGTAATGGCCAGGGCTGGGCCAGGCCAAAGCCAGGAGCCAACGGCTTCTTCCAGGTCTCCTGTGTATGACAAAGGCCAGGCACTTAGGCCATCCTCCACTGCTTTTCCAGGCCATAAGCAGGGAGTGGGTCAGAAGCGGAGCAGGGGCCGGCACTGTGGCGTAGCAGGTAAAGCTGCTGCCTGCAGTGCCGGCATCCCCTGTGGGTGCCAGTTCAAGTCCCGGCTACTCCTCTTCCAATCCAGCTCTCTGCTGTGGCCTGGGAAATCAGTAGAAGATGGCCCAAGTCCTTGGGCCCTTGCACCCACATGGGAGACCCAGAGGAAGCTCCTGGCTCCTGGCTCCAGATCAGCGCAGCTCCAACCGTTGTGGCCATCTGGGAAGCGAACCAGCGGATGGAAGACCCCTCTCTCTCTGCCTCTCCTCGCTCTCTGTGTGACTCTAACTTTCAAATAATAAATAAATCTTTAAGAAAAAAAAAGTGGAGCAGCCCAGGCATAAACCAGCACCCTTAGGGGTTGCTGGGGTTGCGCCTGGCAGCCTCACCTGCTGCACCACAGTGCTGGCTGCAGTAATGTGTACTTTTCCTGACTCAGCTGCCTCTACATTCTGATATGCCTCTCTGGGGTAACTTTTCCGCCCGCTCTAATGTGTATATACTTCTGTACATATCAGAGAATGCCTTATCTGCATTGCATTAATACATATATCCCACAATCCTTAACACATGCCATTAGGGAAATGGGGGGTCAGAAAGGAGCATTGCAGGACCAGAGGAAGCGTCTGGCTGCCACTCGGTCCCCGGGAGGGAAATTCACAAAGCCGTTCTCTGGTCCAGCCCCACTGTCACTAATCATTTTTTTTTTCGTGTGGTATCATTCAGATGTAAACCATGGCTCTGTTAAGAAGCTGAATTTTTCCTTGCGGGGCAATTTGTTGCATTTTATGCTGCTTGCTTTATAAAGATACCATAGAAGAGCCATGTTCCGGCATCTCTGGCTCTCTGATAGCCATCGTCACACTTGTCATCCTAGAGGCTGGAGACCGAACGCACCTCGTGGCGTAGCAGGAAAAGTGCTCCTTTACGTGACTCTGTCTCCGTTGTGTCTCTCTAACTCCCTTCCAGAGCCTCAGCACTTTACATCCACCGTGACTCGCTGCAGCCCCACGGTGGCCCTGGTGGAGCTGCCCTCCAGCCCCTCGCCCGACGAGAGAGGCCAGAAGAGCTCAGAAAATGAAATGAGCGGGAAGGTGGAGCTGGTGCTGTCTCAGAAGGTGAGGTCTGTGGGGGCGGAGCGGACGTGGCTTCACCGTGCAGCTGGCTGAGTCGTGAGCGATGGAGACTGCTTTCCCTCTCTGCACTCCGTACTTGTGTTCCAAACACGCATGCCCCACGCCCACTGTGCAAGATGTAGAGAGACAGTGATAAACATGTAAATATGGAGCAAATAGACCAAGGGAGATATATATATGTGTGTGTGTGTGTGTGTATTTTATATGCAAATAAGCAAATAGAGTAAAAGTCACCAATGTCTACCTCTCCATCAGAAACATTTAGTGTATATTCTTTCATTGTTTTCTAAAATTTATTTTAAATAATTAATTTTTTCAATTTTTGAAAAGAATCAATGTATGTCAAAGAAAAATGTGGCATAAAACTTGTTGTTAGGTTTTGGTTTGCTGTGTGTGAACCTTGCTTATTTGCTCTTTAACCTGAAATACTCTTCTAGTATCTCCCTGTGTCATAGCACTGGCACCTGTGAAGCCCTTGGATTTGGACAAGAGACTAGAAAAGCATAATTCTGATACAATGAGTCTTAGAGACTCAGGTTTCTTACATTTCCTCCACATTCGGTCTTTTCTCATCCACATAAGTTTGGTTTTTTTCATGGAAGAGTCTAAAAGCCCTCATCATTTATACCTGGTGGCCTCAACCTTGCCACCCTTTAGAATTTAAAAAGTAGCAAGGCCACTGCAGACAAGACAAACCAGAACCTCCAGAGGCAGGTCCCAGATGCGGGTTTTTATTTCTTTGTTTTTTAAACTCCAGGCAATTTTTCTAGCTCTCCAGAAGGGAGAACCACAGACTCTCACAATATGAGCTCCATGTGGTGGTAGTCCATCTCCAAAAACTAATCCTAAATTTGACTTTGACTTGCAAATGAAAAGTGTGCCACTACTAGTTCCTCCATCATTTACCCAACCAGTATGAACTGTGCACCTGCCATGGCACCAGGCTCTGTGCTAGATACTGGATATGTAAGAGTGGACATGGCCCACGCCTGGCCTCAGGGGCTGACAGTGATGTGTCCTCGGGGGACACTTGGTGGAGAATCTACAGTGCTTGTTGCCTTGACGCTCCTGGAGTGTCACTGGGCCCTACTTTGATGATAGAATGAAAGAGGGGTATGGAGGTCCATAGAGGGGGACAATAATCAAACAAGAGGGGCAGGCAGGGTTTCCCACCTCTGCAGTTTGTCCTTATCCACTTTACACCTAGCGTCATTATGTATTTATTACTCTTTCACAGTCACTTTTTCAGTTAAATCTGAACTGAACACACTTTATCCTTGGTTGAAAAATCAACCAAAACGAACACCACCACTGAAAAGCAGTCACCGGCCTGCCTCACCTGTGGTCATCTGGGGATCCCACCATGGAAAAAAATTGTTTTCTGGAGTCCTTAAGTTTATCTAGGTCTTGTGGTGCCATGGGCCATTTGGCTGTCTGGTAAACATTATCCGGCAGCATTCCCTTTGTAAAGCAAGCTCCTGTGTGCACAGCCGGATGTTTCTACACAGCGGCCACTCTGAGCATTGCTCCTGACCATGAACTCTATCATTTACAACCAGAATTTTCTGAAACGTGGTTGTTTTTAGCCTCCAACCTGGGGGAAAGTGTGTGAGGTTAAGATTAGAGGAGGATCGGCTTCAGTGAGTCTAGCCCTTCACTTTGCTGTATGTTTAGGACCGAAGTGCATTTGGATATCTGGTTGACCTCTGTGATGCAGAGTGAGGTAATTAACCACATACTCGATATTTTCTCCAAAATTCTAAGGGATGATTATATGACTCATAAAGAAAAGTACTGAGAAGAAATTCTAACACTAATTTATCTCGAGGACCAAATCATAGAGGAGCTTATGATGGAACAAGCTCTTGGCAGCCTCCCCTGCCCTGGGGTCACCCATTGGCTGTGTGGGCAGCATGGCCACCAGACAGAGAGGGCCTGAGAGAACTCGGCCCTGGGCAGCCGGAAGCTGCCCGTGCTCAGGGGCCATTGGCTCTCCTGTTAGAAAATGAGTGGAAAGGCCTGGAAGTCTGATTCCGCACTCAGTTTGATCAGAAGCAAGAAATCAGAAAAAGGGCGCTTTTAACTAAGGATCAGTTAGCACAAGGAGGCAGGAAATAAACTTGAACAGTAATAGGAAGAAAAGTCTGGGTTTTTTGAAACAATCTTAAGAATTCTTAAAACCTGTAATTTTACAGCTAGTTACCCTAAGAAGTACATGCCAGAAATTCTCTAACGGCACCAATGCTATGGCCGTGTTTGGTTAGTCACAATACTGCTTCTTTGTCAGCAGGCAAATTGTGTTGTCTTTGATGTGTTGTGTGTCACTTTGTGGGGTTTGTATAGTGTCTTGAAAGTAATGATGAGTAAAAGGTAATACACTTCAGTTTTAGATTTTTTCAAAGTAAGATTTAAAAAAAATAAAGTATCATGTGGACCATCTCATTTCCTGATATTACAGAATCTATGATGGTAACAAAGAGAGATGACCTTGATCAGCTGGACAATGAGGGAGTTGTGTGTAATTCCATAGTTTAACTGCCAGCTTCGGGGCCTGGAGAGAAGATATGCTTTTGTTTGATTTCTCTGAAAAATCTACTTCTCTGATATAGAAAAACATGACAGAGTTCTAGGGAAGGGGTAAATTCCATTTGCAAGTTAAATGTTTGAATTTACAGACTTCTGTAACAGCCGTGGACTTAGCGTTTGATTCTACCTGTGTATTTTTTAATGGCTAATGCTTGTAATGTTTGTGTTTGTTGCCCACGGTCCAGGTGGTAAAGCCAAAGTCCCCAGAACCAGAAGCTACCCTGACATTTCCATTTCTGGACAAAATGCATGAAACCAGCCAACTACATTTGCCAAATCTCAATTCTCAAGGTAAAGAGAGAGAAATATTTTTGTTTAGCTGTGCATGTAGTGAAATATTTACTCCTGGATGATGTTAAAGGGAGGTTATGTCTTTTATGCTGATATTCTTTTAGCCATGATATTTGCCAGAGTCCACGATGGCTGAACTAATGCAATATATTGGGGAGGTGGGCTGCCTTCTCCATTGGACCAGTCTGGGAACCAGCCTCCAAGGCCATCTGTCAGCCAGGCACCACAGGCACGCCGCAGCTCCCTCTGGTGTGCATCCTAGGAGGCAAGAGCAGGTGATGGCTCAGGCATATGGGCCCTTCCACCTCCCGGGAGACCTGGATCTCTGTCTCCCAAATTAATACTTTTTTTAAAAAAAAATTTAACTCTTAAAAATAATTAATTAATTAAATACGTTACTTCTACCCCAGACGTTTAATCTTCCCCAAAATTCTTAGTACTATAGTAATACATATTACTACTACTACCAATATAATGTAGTGATATATATTACCTATTGCATATATGTATATAACATATATGACCTCAGTATTATGTTTTCATGTATTTGTATTCAAGATATTTACTACCCAGATTATTTGTGCTGAGGATATATTTTCACTGTTTTCACACATTGGTTATGATGTGGGAAGAGGTGGCCCCTGAAGGCTTAGGGGTTTAGGGCCCAAGATGGTCACCAAATGGTGCCAAGCACTGCAGACTGACCAAGTACTCTTTAATACATGTTCGCCTTATGAACTCACCCCCTTTCCTCTTTTAAGAACCTAACTTGGAGCCCTTTATCTGAGTGGTAGACCTATGGCCCACAGCCACCAGACAGGGCTCTTAGGTAGATGACCCTGAGAATCCCATACCTGCTGGGCCTGCTCTTCAAGACAAGTGGCTGCTGGGCTTTCCTGGTGTGTGTTCTCCTTCTAGATGGGCAAACAAGGTTTGGGAAGCAAGAACTGTAAGGTCTCTTGGTTTTCCTTTTTAGACGACCTCCTTTGCGAGTGTACTTTGTAAATTTGATTATCAGTCAAGGCCAAGCAACGATGGCACAGGTTCTTTGAGGTTGAGATTTAATTGTACTTTTCTTTTCAAGGGTGGGCAGCTTTGGGGGCCACCATCGTAGGATGTGAGTGAACTTCTGTTAGCCTTTGGGAGAACTTGAGAGGGAATTTGCTGACATATCTACTTATGGTTACTTGATTCTTAATATGGGAATGAATTCAATTCTGCCTTCAAAGCATTTGTTTTACATTTTTCTGTCTGACAATCCCAAAGGAAATAGACAAAAATTAAATCTCACAACTGGGCCAGCAATTAGCCATACTTAGACAGCTTTAGTTCTGCCCTATTTCTAGCACTTTGTAATTATGTGGAGAAGTAATAAAGAGAGGGAATAGATACTTTAAGCCATATTAATTAGTTTTATTGTCACATATTTATTTATACATTCCATTTCCTGTTGGAAGGCATTTTGATTTTGTAAAATGTGCCATTGAATTAAGGAACTTGACTTCAACTCAAGTTCAGTGATTGAAAAGTGAAATTTTGTGGCACTGGAACATTTCAAAATGTATTAAGAAGGAGTAGTGTTTGGAGTATACCTGTTCTCTTGTCTGATTCATGGAAGCTGTCATTATGACTGTAGACTGTGGAGACAGATGGCCTGGGTTCAAAATCTCGCTCGTCTAGTTCTTCACTGTTACCTTATCCATCACATTCTGCCTGATAATGAATTGTCCCCTGTAAACTGGAAATAGTAATAGTACTACCCGTATAGAGGTCCTGGAAGAATTGTGTGAGTTAGCACGTACATGGTGGTTAGGTCAGTACCTGGTTCAGAGGGAGCACCAATGATGTAATCTTGTCATTGCAGGAGAGCCTCAGTAGGAGTGCAAGTGTGGGGTAAGACATCAGGCAGAAATCCACTGTCCTTGAATGCTTTCCTTCAGACGAGTGCGTTGACATTGCGGAGAAATGGCGTGGAGCAGTAGTTCTCACACGGGCGTGTGTGCAGGGCCCTGCAGAGCACATGTGATTCGGGAGGGGTGGGGGGCTGGGGCCGGGAAGGTTGCATTTCTCACACACTCCCAGGCGATGCTGAAGCTGCAGCCCCAGGGACCACTCTCTGAAAAACCACTGGTCTGAACTGTTTATCTACATCGTGCACCAAACACGTCATTGATAGGAAAATAACAGTAGTACTTATTTGGAGTTTAAAAACTCCCCGTTCGGGAAGCAAATGGCCTCTAATGAGTGTGACCTTCAAAGACATGATTTGCCTTCAAGGATTACAGAGAGGAGGGCGGTAGTCGGTCTCTGCCCAGGCACAGAAAATCAGCCTGCATGGCAGTGAGTAGTCTGAAGTCAGGACCTGGATGGTGGGGTCAGGGATCCTGAGCCACACTTCAGAACCGCTCACCCAGAAAGCACTGTCCTCTCACTCCTTTACGGATTACAGAAGAGCTGCTGGCCAACCAAGTGACATTCCGCAGGTCTCCCTTCCACACGCTCACATGCACTAATACCATTCACAAAATACCTTTAATGATGACACGGAAAACATTCAGAAAATACCTTTAATGATGACAGATTTCCTCCTCTCACCTGTCATGACAGCAGAAAGACCCCTCAGAATTGTGTCTCGGGACAATAAGAGCATCCCTTAAACGCTGAAGCCTTAGAGTTGCATTGAGCGTGACAGATGCACACAGCACGGAGTTGAAAGATTGCAAATGCTTGCCGGGAACTCTGTGTGTTTGATGCTTCCTTCTGTAGACAGGAATCATCCTTTCACAGGTGCAAAGGCAATCGTCTGCCACCGCTTCCACACACAGCCTTTATAAAGTGTGATGGGCAGAACGATTGGCCCACCCCTCACAGCTGTCTTGTCCGTTCCTAGTGCTCTCCAAAAGCAGTGTACGTTTTGGCCTTGCAGAGTGTGTGGTCCTAGCATTTTGAGATTTATTATTTGAGCGTTATCACCACCAAGTGTGAGCCTATAGCGTTTCACCTGCCAAGACAGAAGACAAGCCCTAGAGTCCACTACCCCAGGTCCTTGCTGCTGTCTTCAGCTCTTGTGTGAGTTTAGATTCAGGGATTCTCGATCCTTGTGTTGACTACAGCCGAACCTCCCTGGTACTGGCACCGTGGTTCCTCCACTCTCACCCTGATTTTCTGTTTGTTCTGTTCTGCCATCGGATCTAGAGTTGCCTGGCACTGCCAGTGTTCCCCTTAGAGTTCAGAACTCTTGGCGACGGTCCCAGTTTTTCTCCCAGTCAGGTAAACTGCATCCTGGGTAGCTGCATTTCTTTTGTAAAAAAAAAATCCACGTTGGGGCAACCAATGATACCTGGCATTTGTCTTCACTTCTGATTTCCGACCAAAAAAAAGAAATGCTTGTTTCTGACACAGTTAGCAAAGAGCTGGTACACCAGTTATGCTAAAATCGGGAGGAAATACCTAAAATGTTATGTTGATTTGGGGAATCCAAAGAGAATATTATTCACCATTTTCTTTATAGCTCCTCCCCTTCTGAACAAAGGTTAGAGCTTTTTCCAGGAACTGGAAATGGTCCTCTTGTTAACTGTGTCTCTCTCTCCTTCCGGGATGCCACCTGAACTCTCTATATATTACTTCTCCATGACAGTGGGAGAACTGCTCAATTAAGCCAGAATGCAAGGTGCAGTAGGAACCAGCATGAATAGACATAGCCTGGGCTTCCTCTAGTCTAGTAGCTGGTGCTAACTGATGTGGTCAATCACGTTATGTGGGCCATAACTTCTTTTGGTGATGGGTACAACCTGCTGTAGGTGTCTGCTTTATTATGATTTCCTAAAGCTTTTGATTTGCCAAATTAAAAAAAAAAAGTGAAGCTGACATAGGAACTGTACTCCACTGAGAGGATCAAAAAAAATACGAAAAGCAGTATTTTTTTTCTTTCTGTGCCATAGATTCTCCAAGCAATGAAAAGTCACCTGTAACTACACCTGTAAGTACTCATTTTAAGGAATAAGATCATGAGTTTAGTGTGATTTTAATTTATAATATATTTGATTTGCTTACAGAATATTCAACCAATAATGTGACCCAAACAATTAATTTTAAAAGAATAATTTAATGTATAAAGTTGTCAGGAAAATCATGAAGACATGGATTAACATTATGCAGATTTGGTATTGTACCTGGAAACAAAATGATGTCAGGAAAATAAAATGTAAAAGGAGCAATTAAAATGACTATTCAAACTCGTATTAAAATGGACAATTTCCATAGACATTCAAAATAATTTTTTTTAAATGAGAACAATGCTTCAGTGTAAAGTATTGTTAGAAGACAGAACCCAGCCTGGACTTTCTGTGGGAGACCTATGCTCTCTGTTATATCCATTCTCACAAGCAGTATCTTGAACATGAATAATAGTAACTGTAATGTTGTTTTGTATATTAATCTGAAAAGAAAAAAGCATTTGCTAATTAAAATAGCACGTCACACTGCCCGGCGGAAACTCCCTACCGCTGGATTGTACCTGAATGGTCTGAATCGGTGTTCCAGTGCTGGGCCTGCCATCACATTCACCCTGTGAATTTCCCATCAGATCTGGAGATGTCCTCTGTAGCATGACCAACTGTGGTCTTGTCCACGGGCCACCTGGGGCAGCCCGTAATGACTGAAGGAGTTATGTAATTTTTCTGGACCTCATCTTTGATTATCCAATGAGGTGGTAATCTCTTCTTTTGGTATTGTTTTGAGCCACAGTGAAAATAATTGGAAGCCTCTAGCACAGTGGCTGATGGAAAGACACATCCTCCCTCCTCCGTGACTAATCTAAGAGGCCCACCATAGCCAGTAGCAAGGCTTATCTCCAGGTCAGTCATCTCCCTTGGGAAGCCCTAAGTGTCTCTACAGGATGGAAAGGGGACCCTTCACTTGTCACATAAGCCTTGCTGAAGTTGCCAGCTACATTCAAGAGCTAGGGAGGCTCAGTCATAAGCCAGATCTGGGAATCCTGAGTTTCCTGGGAAGCTGATGCTGCCACAGTGAATGGGAACCCCAGAAGGATCCCAAAGCTGGCATTCATGGAATGGATCCGAGGAGTATCAAGTGACCCACTGGCCTCTAAGAAATCACTTTCAGAAAAATGATGCTGGTGGCCAATTACTTTGTGTTTTCATTGGCTCCAAAAGGGTCCCAGAATTATGCCAGTGTCTTATAAGTAAATGAAAAGGAGACTGAGGTTCAGAAATGACTTCTGCCACCAAAGCGGAGGTTTGGGCGTGTGAGGGCTTCTGCTCCTGTGTGCCCAGAGCTCACTGTCTTCTTGCCCCTCACCTGTCCTTGAGGACAGGGCTCACTTCTGATCATGGTTTTGTTTTTCTGAGCAGTTTAAGTTCTGGGCGTGGGACCCCGAAGAGGAGCGCAGACGACAGGAAAAATGGCAACAGGAGCAGGAGCGTTTGCTCCAGGTAGGACTTGGTTTGTTGCTTTTACTTTATTTCCTTTCTTTTAGATTGATGCTCTCTCTTTTTTTAAATATTTATTTATTTTACTTGAAAGAGTTACATAGAGAGAGGAGGAGAGGCAGAGAGAGAGAGAGAGAGAGAGAGAGGTGTCTTTCATCCGATGGTTCATTCCCCAGATGGCAACAATGGCCGGAGCTGCACTGATCCGAAGCCAGGAGCCAGGAGCTTCTGGGTCTCCCACGTGGTGCAGGGGCCCAAGGAGTTGGGCCATCCTCCACTGCTCCCAGGCCATAACAGAGAGCTGAATCAAAAGTGCAGCAGCTGGCCAGCACCGTGGCTCACTAGGCTAATCCTCCACCTTGTGGCGCCGGCACACCGGGTTCGAGTCCCGGTCGGGGCACCGGATTCTGTCCCGGTTGCCCCTCTTCCAGGCCAGCTCTCTGCTGTGGCCAGGGAGTGCAGTGGAGGATGGCCCAAGTGCTTGGACCCTGCACCCCATGGGAGACCAGGATAAGTACCTGGCTCCTGCCATCGGATCAGCGCGGTGTGCCGGCCACAGCGCGCTGGCCATGGCGGCCATTGGAGGGTGAATCAATGGCAAAGGAAGACCTTTCTCTCTCTCTCTCCCACTGTCCACTCTGCCTGTCAAAAAAAAAAAAAAAAAAAGTGGAGCAGCTGAGACTCGAACCTGCGCCGATAGGGGATGCCAGCACTGCTAGGGAAGCTTAACTCCCTATGCCACAGTGCTGGCCCCTCAATAGATTTTAAGTAAAGGAAATGGATGGAATCATTTCCTTCTCAGAATCTGGCACGTCTAAGTCAGTTAATTTTGAGTCCATGTGACACAGAACCTTTTGTCTAACTCTTTCTGCCAGAAGCTACCATGGTGAGCGTGAGGGTAACACCTGTAGAAACTCTGGGAGCAGGCACTTACCCAGCAGTTAAGATGCCGGTGTTCCTACATTTGGGGTACCCAGTTCAATACTCTGCTCCAGCTCCTGATTCCAGCCTCCTGCCAATGCAGACCCTACGAAGCAGTTCATGATGGTTCAAGTACTTGGGCTCCTGCCACACACATGGGAAACCTGGGTGGAGTTCCAGGATCCTGGCTTCAGCCTGGCTGTTGGGAGCATTTGGAGCACAAACAAGCAGATGAAAATAAATTAAATAAATAAATAAAATAAATACAAATTGTAAAGAGTTGAAATTGCAGGGCTGGTGCACTGGTGCAGCCGGTTAAGCCAACACCTGCAGCACTACCATCCCAGGTGGGCACTGCTACAAGTCCCAGCTGCTCCACTTCTGATCCAGCTCCCTGCCAATGCATCTGGAAAAGCAGTGGAAGATGGCTTGGGCCACTGCACCCACGTGGGAGACCCAAAGGAAGCTCCTGGGTCCTGGCTTTGGATTGGCTCAGCTCTGACTATTGTGGCCATTTGGGGAATGAACCAGCGGATGGAAGACCTGTGTGTGTGTGTGTGTGTGTGTGTGTGTCTACCTCTCTCTGTAACTCTGACCTTCAAATAAATAAAAATAAATCATAAAAAACAGTATTCTTTTTAAAAAAAAGATGATTGTTGAGTCTTTCCATCCATTCCCCTTCCATAAGCAAATTTCTACTCATCTGTTAGAACATTTCTACAAAATACCCGCAACAGAAAATGCTGCTCACCATTGGAACATAAAAAAAAAAAATAAAACAAAATAGTACTTCCATTTTATTGCATGAATTGATTAGATTCACAATGTTACAACAAGAAAAAAATCTTGCAAGATACTGTATGTGATGATCTAGAGAGGGAAAGAATCCCAATGATATATGCAATGCTCAATTTGGAACAATCTGGAAATTCCATGACAGGAGAGATACCAGAAGGAGCAGGACAAGCTAAAAGAAGAGTGGGAAAAGGCCCAGAAGGAGGTGGAAGAGGAAGAACGCAGATACTATGAGGAGGTAGGAGACTGCGCCTGCCATCTTGATTCCCAGCAGTCTGTCAACACCATCAGTGTGCGTGCCGTGCAGAGTGTGTGGCCGTGTCTGACCCCCTGACTCACAGCAGAGCCCTACCTTCCTCATTAATTAACAGTTGTTCACAGAGGCTCTGGAAGGCCACCACACTGCCCCCAAAGTACATCTGACAGTAAGTGTGCGTAGGGCCATAGTCAAATGGAACACTACAATTCTGTGTGTTCTCCAGTCACAGTGGAATTCTTGATTTATCTTGGAGGGATGATGTGAAAGAATCAATTCATGTATTGTTGGGGGGGGCAAGCGTGCTCAGTAGTAATGAATTAATTTTATGTGGATAATTTTGATATCAAGCCTAAATGAATAGATCCTTATCACTGCATTCCCTATGTGGGACTAAAGCGATTTGGAAAGGAGGAACATTTTACTTTGTTTCATTTTGTTAAATGAACAAACCAGACCACATTAGAGAATTTGAAGAGGGCTATGTTTTAGGGTTAGTATCTACAGTCTGTTTATGGTTAATATCCTTGTGACTTTTCTCTTCACCAACAATTTTTGCACTGATCCCCAGTAGCATTTCTAATGCAGCTTCTCAAGTCACACTCACTAATTTACAAGACTTTGTTTTTCTAAATTCACTGCTGATTTCTAATTTATTGCCTACACAGAGAGTGTTACATGATTCACATGCTTTTGAAAAATAGGACTTTTTTAAATGGCCTGCATGTTCGCTTATATTGTGATATTTTTTCTGAAGTTCCTTAGTGAAATTTTTCTATTGACAAATATGATTTTTCACTTTTTCCTCTTTCATCACTCCCTGTTCTTAGGAGCGTAAGATAATTGAAGATACTGTGGTCCCGTTTACTATTTCCTCAAGTTCTGCAGACCAGCTGTCTACATCTTCCTCTGTGACTGAAGGCAGTGGGACAGTGGTGAGCCTTTAGGTTAAACATAATTTGTAAAATGAATAAGCCTAAATAGAACTACGAAACCACAAGACCAAATTTTCCTACCTCAATAGAACTAAATTCAGAGCTAGCTGTTCCCTTAGACTCACTTCAGCTGATACGTGATCTTTGGACCCTGTCGTGCTGTCATTGCCATGGGCAAACCGGAGAGCCTTCTCCCAAGCAGTAAAGCCATTACACCAGCCAGATCTGTCCTGATGGGCTGGCAGCCAAAGTTTCTCCAACCCTGGCCAGGGAGAACTCACCTGGTGCAGCCATGTTGCTGGAATGTCTTCTCACTGGATGCTTCCAGGATCACCCATTCTTTCACCAGACATGTATTTCTCTCTGCCACACCATGCAGAGATGCCACACCATTCTTTCCCAGTGTTTGCCAGAAACACCAATGACGGTCTTCACCAGCCTCCCCAAAAATCCCGCAGAAATTTACCTGCGTCTTTGAGGGCTTAGAGAGTGCCTAGAAAGGCTGGTCTACTGCACGTCCCTCAAACAGGGGCATGGAGGTACTGGACAGGAGTCATGCCAAGGCCTGGACAATCCATGGTCTGCATGAAATAAAATAACCTAAGGACACTAGACATCCATTTGTCCTGAAATGAGCTGTCCTGTGACTTTTTTTTGAAAGAATTTTTCTAAGCAATTCCCTTTTATCACAACTTTTGAGAGAGATCCAGATTATACATTTATTCTGAAGAGTTTGAAATCAACTACTATGAGTTGATTCAGGCCATTCTGCTTGAAGTTGCAGGCAGTGTAATTGAAAAATGTTTCCAGTGTCCCATGACCAGAGTGAATTGTTGTCCAGTGTGTTTAAAAATTATCTTTCGGGGGTGGGTGCGTGGCACAGTGGTTGCTATTTGGGACACTTTTGTCCTGCGCCTGGTTTGAATGCTGGTTTCTCCACTTCTGACCTGGGAGGCAGCAAGTCAGGGCTCAAGTACTTAGGTCCTTGCCACCCACATGGAAGTCCCAGGTTGAGTTCTGGGCTCCTCCTGGCTTTGGCCTGGCCCAGCCCTGACTGTTGAGAGCATTAAGGGAATTAACCACTTGGCAGAAGATCTCTCTCTTGCTCTCACTCTCAGTCTCGCTCACTCTCCCCGTGTGTGTGTGTGTGTGTGTGTGTGTGTGTGTTCCTCTGCCTTTCAAGTAAATAAATAAAGCTTAAAATTATGTTTAAGCCTATCCTTGTTCTCCCCCTTAGAAAAAGATGGACTTGGAAAACTGTCAAGAAGAAAAAGAAGAGAGAAGACAGAAGGAACCGTTCCAGGGAGATGACAATGACTTATTGCATAAGACTAGAGGATGTGACCCACTGGAGGAGAAGGGCAGGTATGAGCCAGTACCAGGCAGTCTGTGAAAGTTTACAAAGCCTGGCTCTGCCTGCTCACTCCCAGGGAGGGTACCTATTGCTAATGCAAATCATATTCAGCTTTGAAATGATCATTCCAGTAATACATTACACAGTGCTCGAACATATTGTAATAGCTCTGAAGTCATGCTCTTGAATATAAATAGCCTTATTTTGAAATAGACAGAACCTTTTTTAGGTCAGGGAAGACCGTATAGCTCATCAAAGGAGGATGTTGTCAATCCATAGCCCCAGACCCAAATATCGCTTGTCTTTTGGGGTGAATGTGTCTGAAAGGATAGATGCTGAAAAGGGACCCTGTGGCCCCACCCACTATGATTTGACTGTGAACCTGAACCTGGCCGTTGGTATCCCCTGTGCTGAGAAGCCACACTCACCCAAGGTGATATAAGAAAGACTAGCCAATGTACCGGTTGGTTGTGGTAAATATCCCACTGTGGGCTTCATCACATCCCCTGGGAGATCAGAAAGGGATAGCCAGACAGCCCTGGAGCAGTCAGAGCCAGCTCAGGCCGGAGCCGGTTCCGGTGGTAGTACTATGCTGCCATTGTGTTCTTTAGGAGACTGTTGTTTGCCTGAGATAGGTCTCAGCAAATCTGCATGCAAATGTACGTGCATAACATCCTCAGAGGGACCTGAGGATGTGAAAGGCTACCTCAGGGTCATGTTCAAAGGGGGGTCAGTTGGAAAGGTGCACCAGGAGCTGAGCCCCTCTGGTGGGCTTTTGCTCCGAGAATTCTCCTGTGCTCCACAGCTGGAAGACTGGGTGGACTGGAAACCACAGGAGTCCAGGGCCTGTGTCCAGAGCCTGCAGAGCCCGTGCTTCCAGTGAACCCTGTAGAGAAAGTCTTGCCAGTTTTATGAAATGCAAACCGCTAGTCAGGAAGAGTTCAGTGCGACATTTGATGTGCATTTTTGCTAGTTGTCTACATGAACCTTGGGATGTCCCTACTGTCACCAGAAACTTACTTTGTATTCCTCTCCTCCCCCACTTTCCGCTTTTGCTTGCACACAGAAGGGGCTGAAAAGCCCGGTGCATTACCATGGGCTGCAAAGGTCCTGTGTGGCCCCATTGACCGCTACAAGAAGTTTTGTCTTGTGAAACTCTCTAGGGTGGTTCAGTTAGCTCTGGCATGCCTTAAGACTATTGGAGTGAAGAGCTTTATGAACAGTGAGGACAACAGAACTGATGGTTTCTTGAGTTTGCTAAATTGTGGATAATAAAAATATTTTAAAATATTTTAGGTCTAATTTAAAATACCAAGAACAAACCGACATTTGGCGAATCCCATTTCTCTTTTTCAGTGGTGTCATTGGTATTTCCATGCTCTTGAGGGGCAGGACCAATAGATAAAATCCAGTGGCATTTGTCTCTACTCTGAAGTGTGCTTTGTTTTAGCAGCCTAATGCCAGAGGCCCCGGCTCATTCTGAGAATCCCACATCCAAAGGAATCCATCAAGACCATCAGCTGGGAGCAGAGGCCGGAGCCCTCAGCTGTGGGATGAATCCACAGCTGTCTCAGGGTAAGAAGAGTGAGCACCAAGCCTGACATTTACATTATGGTGAGACTCCCATGTGGCCCAGATGTCCATGACCTCTGCTGGCTTCGAGGAGCCCACCAGGGCCCTGGACTTTAGCTTATGATAAATACTTAGTGAATCGACTCCCATCCCTGTGTGCCCAGACTCTACCAGAAATTACCAGGACCCCAGGGAGCCCTGAGCAGGTAGTAGCACTTACCAAAAGAAAAATAATAATAATAACTTTACAAAAAAGCTTTGATCTTCACGGGCAATGCATTTTTAGACACTGTCAGATTTTCTAGTTCCAGTCTTGGATGTTGTTGCCCCGTAAAATCCTTAGAGAGGAAGAGAACCAAAGATGTGGGTGCTGGAAGCTCCTCTGCCCGTGGCACTTTCATTCACACCTGTGTCTCCTACACTCCAGCCTCGCCTCAGCCAGATTTCAGCGTATTCTCCATCAAAACCATCAGACCCCGCACCACGGCCTCCGAGGATTATTCTGGAGCAGTGTCAGACCCACAGACGTCTCAGAGCTTCTGCCTCCCAGGCCCCTTTAGATTCCGAGTTCCATGTTTGTCTGGGTTTTCTGTTTGTTTAATTTTCTTGATTTTTATTTCATCACTGAGGAATCTTTGGAAGCATTTGCAGATACTTCTTAGTCTAGAGAGAGAGGAATTTTATGAAAGGGGGGGGGGGAGGAAGAAGACTAAGGAATGTCCGTGATAAGTGTGTATATTGCCAAAGGAAATTAGGCTGAGCAAATAGGCATTTTCAATAATGGAGTTCTTGACTATGGCCTGTGTTTGTTAACCCATCATCTGCTCGTTTAGTGACACAGGTTGAGTATAATACCTAAGCATTGATTGCTGTGTGTTCTGACAGAGATGACCCACAAGCAGAATGCCTCTCGGGTGCCCTGTGAATTTAAAGTTCACCACAATTCGTGTAATTCATGGATCAGAGAACACAGTCGCTGCTTGTTCTAGAAGTCTGCTTTCATTAATGCATAAAGAGTCACTATGTTTAAATATTGTTAGTTTTACATATCTGAGGCAAAAGGACTTGGCTCCCAGTCTCCTTTGTCTCCAGAGCTAACTCCCAGCACTGAATCGACCTCTCCTGGCACCTGTCCCCAAGGCCTACGGGTCAGCATGCGATCTCTACAGACAGGAGCACTTTAAAGAAGACACAGAAGGGGGCCCGGCGCTGTGGCTCACTTGGTTAATCCTCCGCCTGCGGCGCCGGCATCCCATATGGGCGCTGGTTCTAGTCCTGGTTGCTCCTCTTCCAGTCCAGCTCTCTGCTGTGGCCCAGGAAGCCAGTGGAGGATGGCCCAAGTGCTTGGCCCCTGCACCTGCATGGGAGACCAGGAGGAAGCATCTGGCTCCTGGCTTCAGATTGGCGTAGCTCTGGCCATGGTGGCCATTGGGGGGGGGGTGTGTGAACCAATGGATGGAAGACCTTTCTCTCTGTCTCTCTCACTGTCTAACGCTGTCAAATAAATTAAAAAAAAAAAAAGGAGGCACAGAAGGTAACTCAGCTGAGCACCGCCTTTTGTTCTTTATTTGGCCTCAGATCCATCCCAGCATCAGCAGGTGTCAAACCCACCCACGCACATTTCAGAAGATGTGAAGCCAAAATCCCTGCCACTGGATAGAAACATGAGCCATCAGATTGAGTCTCCCACGGAAAGGCGAAAGTGAGTAACAGTAAGATGGATGCAGAATAGTTTTTTAAAAAATGTATTCACTTTGGAAGGGGAAAAAATGAAAAAATCTAGGGTGATCTTCCTGGTAAATAGCTAGTCACTCTGAATGTATAAATTTGCAAGGTTGAGGCAGATGTTGTGATGCAGCAGGTTAAAGCCCAGTGTTTGCAACACTGGCATCTCAGATTGGAACGCAAGCTTGAGTCCCAGCTATTTCACTTCTGATCCAGGTTTCTGCTACTGCGCCTGGGAGGCAGTGGATGATGGCCCAAGTACTTGGGTCCCTGTCACCCCCATGGGACACCTGGATGGAGTTCCTGGCTCCTGGCTTTGGCCTGGTTCAGCTCTGGCTGTTGCTACCATTTAGGGAATGAAAGGGAATGAACCAATGGATGGAAGATCTATCTCTCTCTTTCTCCCTCCCTCCCTCTCTCCATCTCTCTTTTCTCTGTCACTCTGCCTCCCAAATAAATAAATCTTACCAAAAAAAAAAAAAATAAGCATGTACAATCTCATGCATTGAATTGAATTTATACATTGTGATTGCTATGCATGCAATACAGTCTCCTTACTAATATTTTATACATTAAACTACCTTACAGCATTTTGAAATGTTAACGTTTATGCAAAACCATTTTTGAAAGACTTATGAAATAAATTTTTAGGCTGGCTTGGTTAAGTGGAAAAATGACAGGAGTCTCGAAGTCCATTCTGAGTGAAGATGGTGTGCCTGCATGTCCGTGCAGGTAGCACAACCTCATACACAGATGGCACAAAGACTTGTGTACTTGGAATCGCAACTGTGTGCACTGGACATACTCATTTTTCCCACGTCTGTTAGAATTATACATTGTCATTTTTTCTCAAGCACTAAAAATTTTAGATCTCATCAAGTAAGAAAGCCATGCAAAGTGTCAATATGAGATATTTAGCATCTGGTTCATTGCAAAATGCTATACTTGTACATTATAGATTTACCTATTTAGTTTATTTGAATATTTGGCAACCCATAGATTTTTCTCATTGTAAAGAGACTGGTAATTATACCTGGCCAAGTGATTTAAATCGCATACCTGGAATTCTTGCAAGAACTATAGCAAGGGTAAAATACTTCATCATTGCTTGGATCTTTTCCCCTTTTCTGTGTCTATCCCGTGTCTGTTCTGTCTGTCTGGATGACACTCAGAATCAGCAGAAGCTAGCATCACGTAGAAGTAATTGTGATGGTAATTGATTATTGCAGTGGTTTTTCCCTCCGTTTCATTTAAGCAACGGGGCTTGTACTTGAGGGACTACATGAAAATGTGACGTTTTGCCGAGGCCAAGCTCTGCCTGCGCAAGCAGTTTAGAGTGGGCGGGGACTCAAGTTGCTCCCCAGAAAGCAGTTCGAAGTCGGATGGGCTCACGCTCTGTTCACGCTTCTGTTGACTTTTTCTCTTCCATGTGCTTTTTTGTGTACTAACCCTTTCTTGACAAAAGAAGTTGAATTTTAAAAGTAAGAGTGCAGAACCGACAGCTTAATCCCAGACAGAACTCATATGCCAGTTCAGCACCTGTGCGGACGCTCCGGTAGCTGCTGGCTAGGGCCCGTCCTGATGGGTCAGTGCCCATGACATTGGCATTGTGTTGCACCCCACCCTTGTATCACATTCATCCCCGGTGAAGCTGTTGATGAGGGTGGGAACAACCTCTTCGAAACACCCCTCCTTCAATGTCAGCCTTTTGTTGCTGGACTATCTTGGAGTTCCCTCCTTGTGTCTCTGAGTTCAGCATTTTTATGTCTAACTCAGCGTGCAAAAACAGTTTGGCAAACAACTTAAAAAACAACTCCACAATTTTTAACTAGAGAATAAATGAACTGAAAAATAACAAATAGAAAAATATTTTGTCTTTGTTGTTCAAAGCCAGCCTGGTTTTAGATTTTATGTGGCCCATGCATATAAAATCCTTGCTATGCAGAATTACAGTTTTTGCTCTTTACCCAAAAAATGCTCCTAGGAAACTCTGCTCTCTGAGTTTGGTTGTCAGGGAAAATATATGTTTAAATATTTGTTCTTTCTTATCTCAAGCATCCTTGCATGCCGTGTGGTTCTGGGCTTGTCTTGACTTGTCATAATGCCGGCTCCTTTACGCTGTTGCAGGAAAAGTCCTCGAGGAAGCTTCCAGGCTGGGTCCTTCTCGCCCTGCTCTCCCACCCCGCCCGGCCAGTCACCCAGCAGGTACACAGGGTCAGCAAGCCTCCCGGGGGCTTGGTCTGGGCGCAAGCTGGCCAAGCATCTCTTCAGCCACATTCATGCTTGTTGAGTGAAGTGGAGAAGGGATTTGTACATCCACAAATCTTCCAACACTCCCACGCACGTGCAAACACACACACACACACACACACACACACGCACGCAGGAGGAAGGCAGATGCATCAGCCACAGCAGAGAAAGTCAAGTGTGTGATGCTGGTGCAGCTGCAGCCACAGGGCCTTAATTACATTGTGTAGAACCTGCAATCTAATAATGAAATCCACCAGACGGTCACTGGGCTCCCACGTCGGCGCCTTTCCCTCCAAGGCGGCCAGTCCATCTAGGCAGAATCCGCCGACGGCTCACGCAGAGACCCAGGCGGAGGCCGAGAAATGAGGCTTCTTCCTTCTCTTGGAACCTCCTCCAGCTCTCGGATGATTGCTTGTGGACATTAATTGGGCCCCGTGATGTTCTTAAAAGCTGCCTAAATGTCCATTCACTGCAGGGACAGCGTCCTGAGTGCTCAGAGGTTTTTGTTGATGGAGAAATTTCATTTCACTGCTGCATGAGAGGGAGCCCCTAATAAATAGAGTTTGATTAGAGCGCCGCTTCCTTTTTTCTACTGTCTTCCTTTCTGGCCCTGCCGTCTCTCTCTAACACGTTGGCTTGCAAACCGATCCTGTGCGCTGTAAAGCTCCTTGGGCACTTCCAAGGGCTCTCAGGTGCTGGGCGCTCAGTCTGCTCTTAGTTGTGTGGGCGCCACCATAAGACAGCAGCCATCTGCTTCCAGCAGAGTTGTGCACCCTGACTCTCCCGGGATCTTGATCTGCTGGGTGTGGGTCTAGTCCCTGGGTGGGCACTGTCCTTGGGCTACGAGGTACAAAGATGAGGAGGACACAGGATTGCCTTCCAGGGCTTACAACTTAGCGAGAGGAAGAGCTTCCCCGAGCGTTTGTGCTGTGGGAGGCAGGAGAGATCACCCAGTCCAATCCTCTCCATTCACAGGTGGAAGGGAAGCCCAAAGTGACTTCTCCACACCAGATCCCAGAACTCAGAGGCACACTCGGGATCTCGGCACTCTGTTTTTAAACACCAGCAAAAGTATGTTTTCTCAATTAAGTGAAAAGCAGCGCCCTGGGTGGACCAATCAGCCAATTATGAAAAATTTTACAGCAGCCACTGAAACGTTAGCCATGCTGCACTTGATGATTGCTTAGGACTTAGGAAGACATGTAAAAGCGCCTTTGATCACTCTGGTTGAATAGACTATCACGCAAACTTCTTGGAACAAAACCCACACACCCACCGCAGGTTCCATGCCACCATGGAAGCCGATCGTGTTGAGTCATTTGCCAGTTATCTAAAGCTTCATTCCAATTCGCTGTCAGTGCATGATTCTCATTGCATTCATGATGCAAGCATCTGACCATCCATATTTTCATTTTTCTACAGGGTTACGTGTTTGCGTGGCTAACCGGCTCTTCTGAACTGAATTTTGTCTTCTCACGTTTGTTTTCCAACTCAGGTCGATCAGCGGGAAGAAGCTGTGCTCTTCCTGTGGGCTGGCCCTGGGGAAAGGAGCTGCGATGATCATCGAGACCCTGAATCTGTATTTCCACATCCAGTGTTTCAGGGTGAGTAGCCACGCTCTTCTGCTGTCCGGCAGCGTTCTGCGTGCGCAGTCCCTCCTGCAGATCCCGACAGCCTTTGCTGTAGGACCCGCCCACTTCTGGTGGTGTAGACTTCTGAGTGGAGTCTGTCTTTGGGGACGGAGCTCTCCTTTCACAGATCCCTCTGGGACAGGGGTTATCCGAGTCCAGGTGGTTATCCAGGTGTATGCAACACGTCTTCCCTAACAATTTCTGTTGCTAAAGACCATGTACTCTGGCATGAAGCTGAGAAGGGGACACTGGGGGACGATGATGCTTCCAAAGCTTTCAGGGAGCTGTGAATTAGCTGGCATCGTCACATCCCTGCTGCTTCGTACACCCTTGTCATTCAGTGTCAGAGGGCTTCAGCCTTTGACCTAATGGAAGATTTCCAGCCAAGTCAGCGGTGGTAGCTACTTTTTTGCTATTTGCAAAATTGTAGGCTGCGGAATGAGGTTGTCTGTAATCTCAGATCGAACGCCCCTCCCTCCGAGAAGCTGCCCTGCCCCCCCCCCCCCGAAAAGCCAGCTGTTTAACTCTCAGCTCCTCTAAGAATCGGTGATCACCATCAGGGCAGATGCCAAGTCCATCTCACTCAGCATCCTCTCCTCTGTACCCCAGCAGCATGTAGGCATCACCAGTATTTTTAGATGGATGAATTAATGAAAAGTTGAAATGAGGAGGCCTAGATGTCCTGCTAATAAGTAGGTGGACTGGGCCCGATAATGTGGCATAGCAGGTAAAGCCGCCGCCTGCAGTGCCAGCATCCCATATGGGTGCTGGTTCGAGTCCTAGCTACTCCATTTCCAATCCAGCTCTCTGCTAATGCACCTGGGAAAGCAGTAGAAGATGGCCCAAGTCCTTGGGGCCCTGTACCCACATGGGAGACCTGGAGGAAGCTTCTGGCTCCTGGTTCTGGATAGTCCCAGTTCCAGCCATTGTGGCCATCTGGGGAGTGAACCAGCGGATGGAAGACCTCTCTCTGTCTGTCTCTGCCTCTCTGAAACTCTGCCTTTCCAATAAACAAATAAATCTAAAAAAAAAAAAAAAAAGTAGGTGGACTAACCATCCAGCTGTATCTGCTTTATTATAAAATTTATCAGACAGTCTCAATAGATCCTTTCTTTTCATGAACATGTTTCAAGTTAATGTATAATTTCTGAAGTAAAACCCTCTGTCTCTGACTAAGAGTCATTTCTCTCTGTATAACCCTGGCATGCTTTCTTTTTCCTTCTCAAGTTTTGTCCTGTTTCTTATTGGTAGCTTCCTTGACTATGGAGGAAATTTGCATGAGTTTAAAATAACTTCCACTTTGCCTGTAAGCTAAGAGAACATTATTGAATTTAGTAATACCAGTAATCACTTGGAAGTAAGACTTATAGATGAAATTCAATGTGGATACTTATTTTAGATTCAATTTATCAAAAGTAGATTCCATTTATCAAAAACATTAGAATGAGGCCATAATTTCCTAAGCTTTATTTTACGTTCTACCGAGAACAGTTTCGTAAAAGGCAAGCAAACATATTCTCTGTATCTTAAATTATCTATGTGGGCTGGCACTGTGGCATAGTGGGTAGGGCTGCCATCTGCAGTGCTGGCATCCCATATGGGGGCCGGTTCAAGTCCCGGCTGCTCCACTTCCGATCCAGCACACTGCTGTGGCCTGAGAAAGCAGTAGAAGATGGCCCAAGTGCTTGGGCCCCTGCATCTGCGTGGGAGACCTGGAAGAGGCTCCTGGCTTCGGGCTTTGGATCAGTGCAGCTCCGGCTGCTGCAGCCATCTGGGAAGTGAACCAGCTGATGGAAGATTTCTTTCTTTCTCTCTCTCTCTCTCTCTCTCTCTCTGCCTCTCCTTCTCTCTCTGTGTAACTCTGCCTTTCAAATAAATAAGTCTTTAAAAAAACTGCCTATTTAAAAAAAATAATCTATGAATGTTTTGAGGCTCCAGGAATATCCTTGTTAAAATGTATAAATAATGAAATAAAATATTTTAATATATAAAATACTATGCACTTATTATATGATAAGTATAGTGTAATATATAATATTACATAAGTATAATATATAATTATTTATATATTATTTATATCATATAAATATTTACATATCATGCATTATAAGATAACTACTATTACATGTAAATGCACTAATAAGAAAATAATAGAATCCAACACAATACATCCTCAGAAACTTCATCAGAGTTAGAAATGAGGTGGCAAAGCTCTTCGTAAATTCTCAGGGGTTGGGAGACTGGCCTCCTTACCTGTTGAGTCCTTTTGCTCCCTAGTCCATCACTTCCAGGAGCTGGCCTGGTGCCTTAAAGCACATCACCTCTGAGACTTCTGCAGTGTGGGTACAGCTCGTACACCACAGGCATGAAGCACCCCTTGGCCCCACTGACCATGACACTTGCAGTAGAGGATGGGCCCTGATCCCCAGTGCTACCTTCTGTGGCACAAGCGACAGGGTACAGTTGTCCCTGGGTCCCACAGGCGATTGCTTCCAAGACCCCCCATCCCCCAGATACCTAAGTCCGTGGAGGTTCAAGTCTCTCATTTAAATGGCACAGTGACCCATGTGAATCTTCTTGTATCATCTCTGGGGACTTCAAATACCTAATATGATATAAATGTGATGTACACGGTGGATACATTGTACGGTTTGGTGAATAAAGTCCAAGTTCAGGACAGATGCAGTTTTTTGTTTTTCTGATGTTTTACAAGGTCAGCTGACCCCTGGGGTGTGGGACCCACCTTATGCAGGGCCAGCTGTGTACCCCACAGTCTCCTCCCACACTTGGGCTGATCTGGCTAAGCAGATCCCGGGGCCTTGTTAGTATAGATATCCCAACCTTTTGTGTGCTGGCTGTGTGTTAGTAATTCCGACCTGGTCGAACACAGTGACACATTCCAGAAAGCCTTCAGAGACTACTGAGAGGTACATTTCAATTGATGATCCGTTGTGTGTGAAGCCCACTGTAGTGTCAGAATCCCCTAGGAGTGCCGGGTAGAGCACCCCCTCCCCCTGGCTTCTCCCCTTCCAATCCAGCTCCCTGCTAATGCGCCTGGGAAAGCAGAAGATGCCCCAGATATTTGGGCCCCAGCACCCATGTGGGAGACTGAGAGGAAGCCCCTGGCTCCTGGCTCCAGCTTGGCCCAGCTCTGGCAGTTGCAGCCATTTGGGGAATGAACCAGTGGATAGAAGACCTCATTCTCGCTGCCTTTCCCTCTCTCTCTGAAACTCTGACTTTCAAATAAATAAATATTTTAAAAAACTAAAAATGCATTTACTTTTGTTGTAAATTGGCTCTTGCCGCAGCATCTAACACACAGTTGATGCTTGACAAATGTGCAGAGCGCAGACGTGATGACTGTGTTATCCATGTCAATGGCACTGTGCACTGTAAAGAGACAGTTCTCCATGCATCTTACCGTGCGCTTTCTTTCTGCCCTCCAGTGTGGAATTTGTAAAGGACAGCTTGGAGATGCCATGAGCGGGACAGATGTTAGAATCCGAAATAGTCTTCTAAACTGTAACGACTGCTACCTGCGATCCAGAAGTAAGTACCGCGAGAAGACCGCGACGTGGCTAGGGGCAAGCTCCGGTCCTCCGGGGCACCCAAGTTAGGAACTCAAGTATCTTTCCCAAGAATTGGCACTCCTAACTGACAGAGAGGCTGCTCACAGTCCAGATTTTAAAAATGGTCCTGAGATGACGCCTGCTTTACCACTTGTTCCCCACGGGCAGCGAGTGCAACTGAAGTCCAGAAATGCTTGATCAAACCCACAAGTCAAAGCTGTCCCCTGAGTGTGGGAGGTGGCCAGAGCTCAGCACAGAGACCTTGGTGACACAGAGGAAGCTGTGAGGTCTGGAAAGCCCTGCCACTTGCTCAGGTGGTCCCCACGTTGGGGCGGTTCGAGTGAAGCGGGGCCCCCACCGTTTACCCCGTGAAGCACCCACCCCCACAGCACCTTAGTGCATAATAAAAACTACGCGAATATTTGCTGCCTTGGAGCTGCCCTCCCGTATTTTATTTCTGGGTCTCATAACCGAGAAGGTTCATATTAGTTGTGGGGGCACCAGGGGGCGCTCTTGCCCAAGTGCTGTTTAGGTAGATCTGAACCGAGCCGTGGGCTTGCCTCTGAATCTTCCTGCATTGTCCACGATAAGGAGGAGGTCTTCCCATGCAGATCCATCCGTCACAAACTCTGAAAGCTACAGCGAAGAGATGGAGTTTGAAATTCAGGAATATTTGATGATCACTCAAAATAAGAGAAGTCCTTTTTACCTAGGTCTCTAAATCTGAAAACTTGAGTAGTAAAAATTGCAATTAGGTTGTTTTTGCTATAGACTTAGTAAATGCAGAGACATATGTGCCTATTAATAAAATGATAGGGCATAAAAAGTCAGTCAAACCCAGGTGGCTTGGATTTATAATCAGTGTTTGACATGATTATAACCATGCCAGTTTAGAACTGGACAATTTATACCATGTATTACATAGATGATATTAATTTTTGTATCATGTGTTACATATATGAAAAGACAGTATAAAAGTATACTATAGATATGAATACATGTACACAGATACAAATGCACACATACATGTACAATATATAATAATAATAATATACATGCTCTTCAAACTGGATTTTTGTTCATGTGTTTTGTTTTTAGACAGCAGAAAGGGAAGCTGAGTCCTTCTCTCCTGGATTTCAGGGTGATTTTGCCCGACTTGCTAGAAATTGCTGTTCTCGATCTTAGTGAAGGTGCATCTGGGAACCAGAAGGGGGCAGTGTGAGGTTGAAGGAAGATTTGAAAAGTCCTGTGGATGGAATTCCACCCTAGTCCAAAGTGCTTGAGGATGCCAGCAGGGAACCAGCTGGGACCCACCTCTGGTGACAGGGACCTGTTTTCATCCAGATTTTTTTAAAATCAGCAGTTGGGTGATTCTCTTTCTTTCTTTCTTTCTTTCTTTCTTTCTTTCTTTCTTTCTTTCTTTCTTTTTTCGTTCCTTCCTTTTTTTTTTTTTTTAGAAAATTAGGCTTTGGATGTAAGCCAGGGATTTTCCTTTAGTACAGGTAAAGGGTTTTAACTGCTTTTAGTTCTAAATCTAAAGATAAGAACCATGGCATTCTAGTTTCAAGATGAAAAACAAGACAGTGACTGGAAGCAGACTATGAATGTAATTTTTTTCTTATACAGGTTCCGTTTCAACTGCACTACTTTACTAGGATTTTTTTAATTTTTAGAATACTAAGAAATATAAAGGTCAAACCAAAAAGGTGCATTAGCTCTCTGCCTCAGTAGCTCTATAGACATTCAAAAGAATAAATAAAAATAGTGGAAAGTGAGAAAGATTCAACTGTTCAGGAAGATACGAACTAAAGAGTGAAAGCTGGCAGTTAGCTGTGGCCATCCTGTGTCGTATTTCTCGGGAGCAGGGACAGACCATCTGCGCGTGTGTAGGCACACGCCTGCACACCAAGGACAACACGCGTGTGTGGAGTCTGCCCAGGCGTGTGTTGGTTTGGCTTCACAGGTGTGATGATACCATCACCACAGTGTTCTGTACTTGGTTTGGTTGCTGTATTTTCAACTTAATGGTGTTTTCATAGCAGCATCCAATCCCCTTGTATGCCCTCACCCACTATTTAAAACTAATTTGTGGCCGGCGCCGTGGCTCACTAGGCTAATCCTCCGCCTAGCGGCGCCGGCACACGGGGTTCTAGTCCCAGTAGGGGCACCAGATTCTGTCCCGGTTGCCCCTCTTCCAGGCCAGCTCTCTGCTGTGGCCCGGGAAGGCAGTGGAGGATGGCCCAAGTGCTTGGGCCCTGCACCCCATGGGAGACCAGGAGAAGCACCTGGCTCCTGCCATCGGATCAGCGCGGTGCGCCAGCTGCAGCGGGTGAACCAACGGCAAAAGGAAGATCTTTCTTTCTGTCTCTCTCACTGTCCACTCTGCCTGTAAAAAAAAAAAAAAAAAAACTAATTTGTGATGAGCAGACACTGGTCGTTTGAGTGCTTTATTTTTTTAAAATTTTTTTATATTTATATCTTATTTTTTTAATATTCTAATGAGCATCGCTGCACAGCTCACTTCCTCCCTCAGCACCTCTGTCAGCTCAGTGTCAGGTGTTCAGATCTCCCGCTCTGTGATGAGAGGCGAGAAACCCCATGGCTTCGGTTGTGTTTCTTTAGTTCTGAGCTTGAACACACGTGCCTGGGTTCGTTGGCCGTGTCTGCTTCCTTCTCTGTGAAGGGCATCAGTCTCCTCTGCCCATTCTGCCATCGGCACCGGATCCCTAAGCGTTCTTTGCCATTAAAGAAACTCCCCCCTTGGCATGTGTGCTGCTTTTTGCAGTTATCCTCGGCTTTTCTACTTTGTGACTTGGCTATCGCACAGAATATTTTCATTTTACCTAACTTTATGTAGTATCCGTATATCCTCCTCACCCCGCTTCTGGATTGTGGGTTTTGTGTCTTAGAAAAGCTCTCACTATACCAAAGGTATAAATAACTTGGCTGAGATTTTAAACATAACCAGGATCTTTTAACATGTAAAAGTGTAATAATCAAGAATATATTTAGGGTTAAAAAATTAGGAAGATTTCTAGCCTCATTTTTTCTTCAATTACGCACTAGTGTGAATATCTTTTAATGAATAACCCCTTTTTCCTCACTAATTCGAAATGCCAACTTTCTCATAAACTAAGTTCACATATATATTTGGGTCTACTTCTGGATATTTTATTGTGTTTTATTAACCTATTTATTCTCCTATTATTCTCCATTACTGAGTGGTTTTAATTATTGTAGCTTCATAATATGTTTTAATATTAGGTAATAAGAACCACATTCTCTCCAACTGTTATTTTTTTCCAAAATTTTTCTAAAGGTTCTTCCATGTTTATTTTTCCACATAAACGTTAGTAGTATTGTTTTAAGCTAATTTTAGTTAAGTCAACATGTGATAAGGCAAATAACCAGCATGTCTGGGACTCCTGTTCATTTCTTCCTTGGTGTCCTAAGGAATAAACACCCTGTAGGAATGGATTGGGAGGAGGAGGTAATGATTTGGCTGGAGAAATAGGAATATAGTTTAATTGGTTGCCTGTATCCCAGAGGCAATACAAAGAGTCAAAAGAGATGCAATGGCTAAAAATCATTTTTCTTTCCGTGTTTTTGTATTTGACTTTGATCAGAGTTGAGAACAAGGGAGATGGATAGATGTGAAGGGTAGTTTACATCACGGGCGTTGGAAGTGAAACAAAATAATTTTGTTTTGTGGAATAATAAAACCTGAATATATAATCCTATTTTCTCCAAGTAACTAGTGACATTTAAATAAAATTTTTCTCTTGGAGGGAAAAATAGCATAACGGCATATTAAAATGCAATTCCTAAAAGCCATGTAAACAGTTTTTAAGTGTGTATGTAAATGAGGATGGAAGTGCAAAACAGATTACCTGTCACGAAGCAAGCCGTCACGTGTGCCATTTGTGTGTGGTGTCGGATGACTGCTTCTCTGTACACGGTGTTCTGTTCCATCATTCACTCCCCGAAATGCATTTACTGCAAACTCTCCCCCGCCCCCAGGTCTCTGAACCTTGTATGATTGCCTCATCACAACTCCATTGCCTAAAATAAAGGAGAGACCTAGTGCAGGCTTCCACAGGAGAAATGAACAATCCTTTCCAGTTAGAGTTACAAAAAACATACAAGACATCAGTTATATTTTTGCCCTGTTAAATTTGAGTTTCAGATAAAAAGGAGTTTCTGTGAATATATATGTGGCACAAATACTGTATGTTTGGATTTAACAAAGATATGTCCCAATGGCCCGCGCCATGGCTCACTAGGCTAATCCTCCGCCTGCGGCACCGGCACCCCAGGTTCTAGTCCCAGTTGGGGTGCCAGTTCTGTCCCGGTTGCCCCTCTTCCAGGCCAGCTCTCTGCTGTGGCCTGGGAAGGCAGTGGAGGATGGCCCAAGTGCTTGGGCCCTGCACCCCATGGGAGACCAGGAGGAAGCACCTGGCTCCTGGCTTCAGATGGCGCAGCTGCCATTTGGGGGATGAACCAACATAAGGAAGACCTTTGCCCTCTGTCTCACTGTCTAACTCTGCCTGTCAAGAATAGACAAGATAGACAGAGATATGTCCCAAATATTCACAGGATACACTGAAACTAAAAATCATGGGAGCTGGTTTGCAACCTAGTGGTTAAGATACCCACATCAGAGTGCCTGGTTGGGTTCCCATCTCTGGTGCCTGACTCCAGCTTCCTGCTAATGTGGACCTTGGGCGGCAGTTGTGATGGCTCAAGTAACTGGGTCCCCGCCACCATGTAGAAGACCTGGATTGAGTTCCCAGCACCTGGCTGTAGCCCCAGCTGTTGTGGGCATTCAAGGAGTGAACCAGGGAGTGGGAGCCCTCTGTCTCTGTCCCTCCACCCCACCCCCTTGTGTGTACACATCTGCCTCTCAAGTAAATAACAAAATTTAAAAATAGGTTTGCTTCTCTGCCTTGCACATTTTACTGGGTACCTCGGTATTTTTCCTTGTTAAATCCAGCGATCCTATTTCTAGGTCATGTTAAATTCCTCTGGTTTTCAAATATTTATTCTTAGAGAAACCAAGATCTAGAGAAACTGAGAGAGAAGAGATTATTCTCTTTTTTGCCCCAGAGGACCACGTAGAAACTTGATGCATGGTGATCTTCGGGTTTAGGGGAAATCCAGAGCATTTGACTCAAACTTGACAGTGGCTTTGAATGACCTGGGCGTCTTATTAAGTGGATCTGGGAAGGAGCCCAGGAGTCTGCATTTACAACAAACTCCAGTTGATGCCAATCCTGCTTGTCCTTGGCCAACACTTTACTTTGCAGGCGGGGCAAGTTTCCCCTCCCCAGAAAAGGAGAGACTTTGGCAAAGAAAGTTGCTAATTTGAGAAGCTTTGAGACGTCTAGCCAAAAGACTAACCAGATGTTGCTCTGTTTGTTTGCCACAGGTGCTGGCCAGCCCACAACCTTGTGACGTGGTATTCGAGCTTCCAGACCACTCGCCATTTCTTTATTGAGGGTGTCCCCTGGCAATCTCTTAACAAATTCCCAACTTCAGGGGCTTCTTAGCATTCATCTAATTCCTGAAAGGCTCTTCTAAAAGGGTGGTATCTGTTCTTTTGTAGCAAAGTGTTCTTTGTGTGTGTGTGTGTGTTCTTCCTGGTTTTATTTTTTTTTCCTTCTTCTTTTTGCATTTGCACAGTATATCCAAGAGAATATTGCATTGTAATGATCCTGAATAGTTTGAAAAGAGGTTTTAGCATCAAACAGGTGACACAGGCTTACAGTTTAAAATATGCTATTCTCTCCTCTGGGAATTAGCAAAAACGATGCAATAAACCTGTTTTTGTTTTAGCATTTCTAGGAGTTAAACACTTTATGTTTACAGAATTGAACCGCAGAAAGTGTGCGACATGCCAATTTGAGACGTGGTCTGCTAAGACAGGAGCAGAAGTGGAGTACATTTCAGAAACTGCACGTCACAGCGAGCTCTGTCTCAGAGCTGTAACTTGTTTTTAATGCAAAGATGCTAGTCTGATAATATATACTGTAATCCTGAAACATTTGTGCTACTTACCTTTTGAGGTAGAAGTTATACCAATAAATTATTGCACTGTTAGTCTTAGATTTTTGTGTACCTTAGAAGTTATGTCATTCATATAGGCTTGTCCATCAGGTAAAGAGAACCCTTGCAATATCAGCTAGATGTACACTCTGGGACATTGCCCGAGGGTAGGAAGAAACCAGAGGGAAATGTTTCTGTCTTCATCTCCAAAGTCATTGCCAAGATCTGTGTGAGAGTTTAACCATCAAAAGCGTGGTGGGTGAGTGAGAGCATGAGGCCTGGCTGGCCGGCGTCTCTGCAGGCACTAGATCGTCTTCAATGAGACTGTCAGTACGAGGCATGTGGACCATGAGGCATGGGGAAGGTCCATCAGTAGGTGTGACACCGCTCTCACCCTTCTCTGCAAATTCCGCGTGAAGCAAACCGATCTCCAGAGGGAAATATTCAGTCCACCCGAGTAGAATCCAGATGGCAAATGATGTGATAAGCCAGTGGTGTGTGAGCCGAAGAACCCACAGCTCAGACTGGGCCCTGCGCGCTCACGGATACACACTGTCCTTCCTTCTCCCGCGGCCCGCCCTCACTATCCGGAATTCTGGACCTTGGCCGTGGAGAAGTCCAGAGAGGACCTCTTGTGGAGAAGCTGGTCTGTCTTCTGTCCTGTGTGACGTGCTTCCATTGCACAAGAAAGGAATCAAGTTCCCAAAGAGCTTCACAGTTGAGATCCTCCAGGCTGGTTTCTTAAGACTGGGGAAAGGGGAACTATTTATTCTGCCTTAAAATGATGGCAAGTAAGTGAAGATGTCACTTCATGAATGTAGACTGTGGATACACTCCTAATAGGTTGCTGTAGTCGTAAAAGGAGATCAAGTAGATGTTCTGTTATGTAAGCAATAATTTGTTTTCTGTCTTATCGAGTGTGGCTAGCAATTATTTATTTCCATGCTAGACAATTCTTTGCATGTGAGTTCCACATAGGTGCGGGGATTTCCTCAGCCACTGGAGGTATACTGACCGTTTTGTCATTTGGACAACCGTTATTAGATTGGGATTTACACATCATTTCATTAAAACTTGTGCCTTAGAAAATGCAAAGCTGTTGCACACAGTCAGTGATGAATTATGGATGCAGTGCATTGAAGAGAGATGAAGTCACTTCCAAGTTCCCACGACTTCTCATGGAGGTGTTTGCTGTTTTACAGGAAAAAAAAATTCTAAAAAAAAAGAAAAAATATTAAAAAAGAAAAAAAAAGTTTTGGAAATGTACAGATTAAGTCTGATATTTTGATTAACCACCTGCATGTTTTATTAAATATTTTGATAACGTGGATGTTTACACTTTGCATGATAGTAGCAGAGTATTTCACCACCAACAATGCACAAAACATGTACAATATGGCCATTCATAACCGATTTTTATAGAATACTTTTTACATGTGGAACTCCATCCGTTATGTAAGGATCACATGAATATTGCACATTCTCTTCTGGTTTCACAAGCCCATTTATACATATTTCTTAGTGAGACTCATTGTACATGTATTGAAGCTAGAATTGAGTCAAGAAAAATAAAGCCCCATTCTCCAACTGCAAAATATGCTTTCCCATAATGAACAGTAGTCACCAGCACAGAATAATATCCAACATTTTCTAAATTCTAATTGCCAACTGTTTCTATTTCTATTTGATTTATATTTCATTTGGAGTCTGTTACATGGCAGCCTGGGCAGACTGGATCTTACGTTTTCCAAAGAAGCATAATGACTATGATCTATTTCTTCTCAAATAATCTTTGAGATCCCAGGGAAAAAAAATGTTCTGCTCTGCTGAGCTATAATGTGAATGTGTTTCTTTAGAAGACAGATGAGGCAAGTAAGTGATTTATTGTTCCTAAGGAAGTATATCTGATTTTTTTTCTCATACTCCAAAAGCTAGTCCCTTCTCTTTTTAAGGGAAAAAAAAATGGGTAACTCTCTTTTTCGCTAGCAAACTTTCATGATATTTCCTCATGCTTTCTATGTAGTGTTAGTAATGCAATACATATTCTAGTTATCTATACACCGTGTAAGATTTAACAAACTGAAATGATCCAGCTCAGCTCATACGTGAGGCCGTCCAAAAGATGTTACTGCTCTGGGTGGGCCAGTGTTCTGTATCAGTTACACTAACTTTCATTGAAAATATTTATTCTAAAATGCCTCTGAGACACAGTAAAAAAAAAATAAAAAATAAAAAGTTGTCTAAAAATGCAACAGCTTTTATAGTAAATGTACATTTATAAATAAAATACTCAAATCAACTGTGTACTCCATTATTTGGCAGTTTGGGGCTGATTTTTTTTCTTAACGTGGGAAGCAGAGACTCTGCTGTGGCTTCTGGTCCGGGCGTACAGCGTGAGAAGACAGCAATGATGCATGTTTGCTTTTGCACCGTGCTGCACGTTTGAGGTCAACTAAGGCAAATCAGACTTACCAGCTGGGAATAGGGATCCCTGAGGAATTGCCTTCTGCCTAAGGATTTTAACCCTGAGATGACAGACACACAACGAGGGGAGACCATTCAGAGGTCAGTGGAAATTGTCCAGCTAATGGTCTCCTCCCAGCCCCGGCTGGAGAGACGGAAGGCAAGTCCTTTGGAGGTCCTGGCTGCCGCCTCCTTCCGCAGCACTGCTCCAGTGTCCCCACTCACTGGACACACAGTCCGTCTCACTGAGGCCTCTTGCTTGCTTGTTGAAGCAAGGAGTGTGCTGCTGATACTGATGCTCTTCCTAAAGTCTGGTTTGATCCTTTCTAATGCACCTTGTATTTTGCCGTGCACTGTCTCAAGTTTGTGGATGCTGATAATAGGGAGCAAATCCCTTGAAAGTTTCCATTGCGGTAAGATGCAACATTCTGATTGCCACCATCTGTCGATGTCTGTATCTTTTTGCAAAGCTTGGTGGGCAGTTAGTAGTTGCTGATGTGCCATGGAAAAGTGGATGCTTTTCTTCTCTTGAGAGAGTTTCAGTAGCTAACAGAGAAACTTAACATATCTGTTGTTATTTAAATGTAAGTCCATTCAAGTACAATGCAGGTTAAGACAAAGGGAAGACTTGCTCTGACTTGAGGTCTATAAAGCATATCTCTATAAAAAGAAAAGCAAGGGCGTGCCTGGGTTCATGTGCCTGCTCCGCTCTCCAGCTTCCTGCTAATGTGCACCGTGGGAGGCAACAGGTATGTGGGTCCCTGCCACCCATGTGGGAGGCCCAGATTGCATTCCTGGCTTCTGGCTTTGATTTGGCCCAAGCCCTAATGGTCGTGAGTATTTGGAGGAGTGAACCATCAGATGAAAGGTCTCTTTTCTGTCTCTCTACTTTCCAAATAAAATAAAAAGACTTTTTATAAAGAGTTAAATAGGCAACCCATGGAATGGGAGCAAATTTCTTAGAAATAAAAAAAATAAAGCATATTGCCCAGAATATATTAAGCTAGCTTTCTTTCCATTGACTCTCTTCAAAATCTAAAGATTCCTTATTTTCTTAAACTAAACTCACTTTAAAAAATTAATTTTATTTGTTTATATATTTGAGAGGCAGAGAAGGAAAGACAGGTGTCCCATGTGCTGTGTCACTCCACATATGTCTGTGATGGCCCCAGGGGGCCAAAGCCAGGCGCTCCATCCAGGTCTCCTTTGTGGGTGTCAGGAACCCGTTTCCCCATTATCCCTTTATCTGCTTTATCAGGAAACCTAAGCCAGGAGTCAGAGGTGGGCCTGGAGCCCAGGCGCTGCAGTATGGGGTGCAGGTGTTTTAACAGCCAAATGCACACCTTACGATTCCTTCTCAGAGTCCTCATCTAAACTACCGAGGCTCCCTACCCAGTCCTTCGCAGAGGTTACAACTGAAATGACCCGCTAGGCACTGCACATGGGAACCAGAAGAGGGCACTGGAGAGTAGTAGACGATGACAAACCCAAGGAGCAGTTCTTTTATCAATTACATGCATCACAAATGTTTTCTCATTCTGTAGCTTGTACTTTTGTTTTGTTTTATTTGAAAAGGAGAGAGAAACGGACCTTCCACCTGCTGATTCATTCCTCAAATTCCTTCAACAGCCTGGGCTGGGCCAGGCTGAAGCCAGGAGTCCGAAATTCAACATGAGTCTCCTACGTGGGTGGCAGGGGTGCAAGTACTTGATCCGCTACCTTCTGCCCCCCAGAGTGTGCATCAGCAGGCAGCTGGATGGGGAGCAGAGAAGCCAGGATTCCGACAACACACTCCAGTGCCGGCATGCCAGGAGTGGTCTTAACCAGTGTGGCACATGCCTGCTCCTGTAGCTTGTCTCAAACTGCATCGTGTTTAGTTGTCAATTTTCAACTTTTAATGCAGTAAGTATATGAATATTTTTACATACTTGGTGCTGCTCACAATCCTTCCTTACACCAATTCCATAACAACACTCTGCTACATGCTTTTTGAAAATGTTTAAATTTCACATTTGGATAATTATCAAGTTAAGTAGAAATCTAATGTTCCCTCCTTTGAATAGTTAGTTTTCCTAATTAATAAAATAAATAAAACCCTCACCTCAGGGGCCTGGCATTGTGGCACAGTGGGTAACGCTGCTTCCTGCAATGCCAGCATCCTATATGGGCACCAGTTAAGTCCTGGCTGTTCCACTTCTGGCCTAGCTCCCAAATAATTGGGAAAGCAACAGAAGATAGCCCAAGTGCTTGGGTCCCTCCCCCCTACTTTGGAGACCTGCATGGAGTTCCAGGCTCCTGGCTTTGGTCAGGGCTGGGCTAGGCCATTGTGGTCATTTGGGGAGTGAACCAGTGGATGAAGGATCTCTCTCTCTCTCTCTCTCTAACTCTGCCTTTCAAATGAATAAATAAATACATCTTTAAAAAATCAGTAGAAAACCCCACCTTTTCCTTGTTGATTTGTAATATCACTCTGTGAGAAACTGATCAAAGTATCCAAGAGTCTGGGGATTTATCCCGTTCCATTGGTATATTTATCTGTCCATACCCATTTTTTCAGTGCTATAATTATTATATCTTTATAATTAGCCTCAATATCTGGAAGGACAAATTTCCCTCCTTTCATAAGCTTATTTTGGGGCCAGAGCTATGGCACAGCTGGTAAGGCCCGCCCCCTGCAGTGCTGGCATTCCATATAGGTGACAGTTCGAGTCCCAGCTGCTCCACTTCTGATCTAGCTCTCTGCTATGGCCTGGGAAAGCAGTAGAGGATGGACCAAGTCCTTGGGCCCCTGTGCCCGTGTGCAAGACCCGGAGGAATCTCCTGGCTCCTGGCTTTAGATTGGCACAGCTCCAGCCGTTGTGGCCAATTAGGGAGTGAACCAGCGGTTGGAAGACCTCTCTCTCTCTCTGCCTCTCCTTCTCTCTCTTTCAAATAAATAAATAAATCATTTTAAAAAAATAAGCTTAGTTAGCTATTTTGGGCATTTACTCTTTCACATAGATCTTGGGATAAGCTTGGACAATTTCTCCAAAATGCCTCTTCATGTTTCTTCATGTCAATCTTGGACATAACAAATTTGGGGTGCTCTCATTCTAATACATTGTTTATCATTTTTTTTTTTTTTTTGGACAGGCAGAGTTAGTGAGAGAGACAGAGAGAAAGGTCTTCCTTCCATTGGTTCACCCCTATGGCCGCCGCGTTGTGCCGATTCAAAGCCAGGAACCAAGTGCTTCTTCCTGGTCTCCCATGAGGGTGCAGGGCCCAAGCACTTGGGCCATCCTCCACTGCATTCCCTGGCCACAGCAGAGAGCTGGACTGGAAGAGGAGCAACCGGGACAGAATCCGGTGCCCCAACCGGGGCTAGAACCCGGTGTGCGGCGCCGCTAGGCAGAGGATTAGCCTAGTGAGCTGTGGCGCCGGCCATCATCTTGAATTATCTATCACCATAAAAAAAAGGTGCTTTTATCTTTTTCAATTATGTTTTCATTTTTCTTTCATATTATTTTGCATTAAGATATGCAGTAAATCATATTAATGGACATTCTTGTCTCACATTGTTCTTTATATAGGCAAGAAATTGGAAAATATCTTAGATATCTACCAATAGGAGGACAGTTGTAAAAATCATGTTATACCCTTATAATAACATTCTGTCACTGAAAAGTTACATGTTGGGGGCAGGCGTTGTGCCGCAGTGGGCTAAGCTGCCACTTGGGATGCCTGCATTCCATATTGGAGTGTTGGTTCAAGTCCTGGCTAGTCCACTTCCGATGATCCAGTTTGCTACTCATATTCCTGGGAAGGCTGAAGATGATGGCTTGAGTACTGGAGTCTGGCCACCCATGTGGAAGACCTGGATAGAGGCCTGGGCTCCTGGCTTTTGGCCTGGCCCAGCCCTAGATGTTGCAGGCATTTGGGGAATGAACCAGCAGATAGAAGATCTCTCTCTCTCTCTCTGTGTCTCTCTCTCTGTCTCTGCCTCTCTCTCTGTCACCTTGCTTTTCAAACAAATAAATCTTTTTTACAAATTACATTTTCATGGCCGGCACTGTGGCAGCAGCACCGGCATCCCATATGAGCCAGTTCATGTCCCAGCTGCTCCTCTTCTGATCCAGCTCTCTGCTATGGCCTGGGAAAGCAGTAGAAGATGGCCCAAGTGCCTGGGCCCCTGCACCCACGTGGGAGCCTTGGGGAGTGAACCAGCAGAAAGAAGATCCTTCTATCTCTCCCTCTCTGTGTCTGCAACTCTACATTTCAAGTAAATAAATCTTTTTAAAAATTATGTTTTCTAAAACATTTAAATTTAAGAAGCAAATAAACTTTATGTAATATGATTCATTTTATGAGTAAAAGCTATTAAATTGGAATGAATTGTATAATGTATATTTTATATATGTAACATGTGTCCATTGTTTTCAAGACTTTTAGGATCGAACTTCCCCATGATATCCAAATATAAATCCATGCCCCATTCGACAAGACTATAAGAAATCCCACTCTCTCAGCAATTCTTTTTTTAACTATCATATTGCTTTATTTATTTGAAAGGCAAAGAGACAGAGAGAAAGTAACAGAGACAGAGATTTTCCATCTGCTGTAGTTCACAATTGCCCACAATGCATGTTGGTTGGACTCTGTGCAGAGCCAGGAGCCCAGCACTCAATCTGGGTCTCCCATGTAGGTTGCCAGGAAGGACCCAAGTTCTTGAGCTATCACTCACTGTCTCCCAGAGACTGTGTTAGCAGGAAGCTGGCATTGGAAGCACAGCCAAGTCTCAAACTGAGGCACTCTGAAATGGGATGCAGGCCTCCCAAGCAGTGCATTAACCACGACACC